AGAAAACCAACAAAACTTATCATTTCTTCTCCTATTCACTTATATTAAATACCCCATTAAATGAATATTAAATTCATTCCATCCAAATGACTAAATCACCCCTCTATTCTTCCATTCTTAATCATTAGTATTAAGCAAATTTTTTATTCATTTCTTGTACTTTATCATTTATTCAAATCAAATTGTCCAAATTTAAATCCTTTTATTATGGTAACCGACTCGATATTTGGGGTATTACATCTATGTTCAATGTCATGCATGTATTGCATTCACCTTGATACTTTATATATCAAAAGATATGCCTCACTATGCTCCACACTAAATCCTTTTATACTTGATTTGCTTCGAATACAAAATAAAAAATTGATATTGATACATATACTTGAAACTTATTCTCTACCAAAATACTTCAACGCTTAATAATTCTTTTAATATTGGCACCAACTTTTCCAATTTACACAAAATTGTCCTTCACCATTTTATCACTTAAAGTTTTAATACGAAAATTCCAACATTGAAATTATTACCAACCAAGTACCTTTACAATGACACAATTACATTAAAACACCCCAACTATACGAGTATTGCATTTAAATCACCAAACTTTACAAATTTCCAAAATGGTCATATTTCACATCTTTACACTCATTTCAATTCCCAAACAGTAATTTCCAGCATAGTACACCAACTATTAAACAATTACACAACCATTCCAACTTTTCCAAAATTATTGATTTTGTCCCTTAATTTTTCAAAAATTATAGAATGGTCCCTAAAATTTTCTAAGGATTGTAGAATACTTCCTACATCATTTTCAGTCCTTACATAATTTTTCCATAATTTTTCTCATGCAAATATGCAATGGTTGAATGCTTTAAATCTCTAAAATTAGGATTTTCATGATTTTGCTCGATTTTGATTCGATTCATGCATGAAATCCACTTCCATCCAACCTTACAACATCTCCACAATCAAAGCCCTAATCAAATTTCATCAAAACACAAAGTTATACAAATCCATCATTTGACCAAAAATCATAGAAGCATTTCTAGTAAGACTGAACACGTTTTAATCATTAAACAAACTTGAAAATGAATCTACAACCTCAAAAAGATAAAGATTCATCATCAATTTCATGAACCCTAGTGTGAACACAAATCATAGGATTTGGGGATCTTTGAAATCAAGCAAGTTTAGCAAGTATAAATGGTACCAAAAGATAGCGTTTCTTGCGTAGAGCAATTTTCTATTTCACGACATAACTTGAAATCCTAAGGAAATTGCTCAAAAATAGAAAGCATTTTTTCCCCTTATCTTAGGAGGTTCACGGCAAAGGATAAGATGATGACTAAATTGGCATGAAATTTTAGATTAATTTCATGCTAATTTACCTTAATTTTAGATTAATTTCATGCTAATTTACCTTTAATTTAAGCTTTAATGAATATTAAATTCATTAAATTGGGAAAAGAGCAATTTAACCTTATCATCTTTCAAAAGACAAATATGAACAAACAAAATCACAATTTAACGATTTTCCCTTGTATTTTCCTAAAAATTACAATCTTACCACTTTAATCCAACGGTCCAAATTAAACATGGAATTAAATCCTAAAATCCAAAGATTTATATTATTTTCCAACATTTTAAAAGATGGAAATAATATTTTTAGGTCTAATTTATCATCCTTCATATTTTCCTAAAAATTTTATTAAATCTGGTTTACCGAATTGTTTTCTCAGAATTTATCGCTTTATAACTTTTAATACACAATCCGTACGAAAATTCTGATTCCCACAGAAATGTCATTCTTGAGGTAAACTATTTATTTACACGGGCCAAATTGAAACTTTTTAAAACTACCATTTTAGTCCCTGAATTTTTCCAAAGTTTATACTTTTATCACTAAACTTTTAAAATTTTCATTTTGGTCATTACCCAAAATTTGGGCTATTACAAAGATAATGAAGATTATGGCAATAAGATAAACAAAGAAAAAGAATATAGAGATAGTATAACTTAGCCAAAATTAGGTTTTGGTGATGATTGACGAGAATGGCGATTTGATGATCTTAATGAGATGATGATGATGATAGTGATTGATACATAGTTGTCCCATGAACCTTCCTAATTGCAATAGACTAGGCAAACTCGATAATCAGCTCTAATCAACCCTCATAATCGTAATGAAAAGGCAAACTGGAGTGTGAAGATTTCCCTCACGGAGAACTTGAATACCTTAATGATGAAGAATGCTTACAAGACACTAGACAATCAACACTTGCAAAAACGAACTCTCATTGTATTATTAATCAAAGAAATTTGATTATAATGGTGAATAGAGCCTTCTTTAAATAGGGCGAGAAGTTCCATGAATCTAGGTAACAATTGAATAAAATAATAATAAACTAAATATAATATTTTGATTTTATCCTTATTCCTAATAAAATAATAATAAACTAAAGATGATGTTTTAGCTCTATCTTAATTCATAATAAAATAATAAATATAATCCTAAAATATAATGCATCACGTTATATTAAATTATATTACAAATAATGAGTAAGAATATTGACAAGTCGTAATATTTACAAAATCTCATATTAATCGCGTATATGAATTTCTGCATGCACTGTCTTCACTAAAATGAATGTATCTTGAGGTATCGACATCGGATTGACATATTTCAAGTACCATTGGAAAGCCGAGAGACAACTGATCGTATCTCGAGAAGACATATCGACCAAATAACACCTAGATCTTTTTCAAAAAGTCGTCGCAAGTCTGCTTCTGTTTTAGGTCATCTTTTTCAAGGCGTGGATGTGTGGATCTTGGCAGAGAGATAGTCCACCTTCCTTGATGTGAGCCTTATGGTCATTAGTAATTTCTAAAATTTGCATTTACGATTTTCAATAACTTGGGTAGTGACATCTTTAAAGATATTCTATGATGATGAGTAATTTGGGTGTTAATAAGTTGTGTAGACAATATGAGTAAGCTTAACCGACAGAGAAGATGAGATGAAATTTATAAAGTTCTTGATTAAGTAAATACAAAAAGATTGCAGCTAGATTTCGGAGATGAAGCAATGGATTCTAAGGATTTCACGAGAAATGTTGTTGCAGCAAATTTGAACTCAATCAACAGATGAGAGGAAAAAGAGGAGACATTCTGCTGGTTGGGAGCCAAGTACGGTCGGGGTTATGTCCTCAAGTAGGAACGGCATGATAAATCATGAATTTTTAAAAGGAACAGGGTTAACTAAAGGGGGCTAGAGGTGCCTATTTGGTTGTAGCAAACTTTCTTGGTTAAGAAAAAGAAGGAATAAATTTTGTTGTAGTAAAAGGTAGCTAGAGGTGCCTATCTAGCTCTAGCATTATTTAAAAAAAAGCGTTGGTGAGTGAAGTCAAACGAAAGTATTTCTAGTGGAGTTTAAGGAAGAAGCTAAGGAATCAACGGAAGATGAACAAAATCAGTCTCACACATTCACATCAAGAAATACTTTAGAGAATGAAGTCTTTTCATCTAGTTGAGGTTAAGTCGGCTCAAAATGCTGAAGCATTCATTAAAATCTAGAGAACAACTGAGGGTGAGAATAAAGAGCCTGTTGAAATTGAGTAACTTCGAAGGTCGGTACTGCTGGGTACTAAGGATGCATGTCAGATAAAAATATCATTGTTCGAGGAAAAACAAAAATTCAAGTTTAAATGTGTGATAACTCTCGAATATATAATACAATAATAGTATTTTATATGGCTAATTACTTGTTTTATGAAGGTTTTTGGTATATCATTTGCATATTATTAACATTTTTATCACAACAGAGAACGAAAGAATAATGAAATGTTTTAAGTGATGCAGAGCTAACAGATGCTATGACCTGGGATAAGAAAGCGAAGCTACTGTAAGAGCAAATAAAAGGATTGCAAGTGTCTGTTGACAACTAAACAACAAATCTTCAATTCCTTGACATAATATTAGAAAGTCTAAATATTGTAAATCCATGTTACCCAAAAAAAACATTGTAAACACAAATAATTATAACTATTCAATACAAAAATATATGAATGCATTTATTTATTTTTAGAAAATGTGTATAAATAAACTTAAATTAGTGTCTCCTGTATATAATTAAACCAAAATTAAAATTTCACGTGTATAATTATGCAAAATTTAAGTTAATATATAATAGCATTACACATTTAACCAAAGTTCATATGTAATTTTGATATTTCTACCTCAATTATTTATACTTAGGGTTATTTATCAAGCGACCCGATCACGAGTTGAATAGTTTTTGACTTGTGTTTGTTAAAAAATTATTGTTTGAGTCAACTCTTTGCTCATTAAACATGATAAATTTTGCTCGACTCATGCTCTTAAAAAAAACTTGTTTCTTGAGCGACTCATTGCTCTAAACTCATCATAATTTTTATCTTTTTTAACTATATATAAAATCAAGTAAAGTAATTATCAATTAACAATTTAGTATCATTATTGTTATTTATAAGAAAATCAATAATTTAATAGTAATTATTAGTTAAAAAATTAACATATTTCTAATTATCTATTAACAAATTAGTAATTGTTTGTTAACTTTTTAAAAGAAATAATTTTTTAAGGATAACTACTAAATTTTATGGAAAAAATATAGAACTACTCGCAAATTTATAAAGTCAAATTAAACCATTCTTGACTCTACTCGTCAAAATCCCGAATCAAGTTTGAATTTAAATCGAATCAATCTAAGTCAAATATTAACCATTCTAAACTCTACTCGTCTAAATCTCGAATCAAGTTTGAATTTAAATCGAATCAATCTAAATTTAATATTAACCAAATTTTAACCGAATCGAATTCAAACAACTCATGGACGCTTAACTCATTAAACATCCTACTCACCAAAGCGAGGACGCACACGAGTTATGGTTAAAAGTTAATTTCTTATGTTAAAATTTGACACTTCATTTATTTTATTTTAATTCAATAAAATTTGCATGTCTTTTGTAAAAGATGGGGCCTCAACTCGATAATACATATGTTCTCTGCTTCGACACTATTCATGGGTAATTTTTTAACCACTGTACAACAGTTGAACTTCGCATTTACTCATTATTCATGATCAGATCAAGTGATTCAGACTTTCACTTTTTCTGCTGCTTCTTTGATTTGTTCAATGGTGAAAACGCCAAAGACATCGTCTCTTATGGCATTGATGACTGCATATGCAACATCATCGACGCAAACTGGCGGAGCCAAGATCAAATCAGATGCCGGAAGAGAACTTAAAGGCTTGGTAAAGTTCTCGACAGCACTCAGAATCTTTTCCAGTGGTTCCCCAACCAGATCAAGTGGAAGCTCAAAACCATCCACTCTCCTCTTTCCATATATAAATCCTGGTCTTAGGACAACACCTGAAATCCAAAGCCATATATTTAAAATATCTTACACCATATTTTTGCAAGAACCGAAAAGGTCAAGTCATTAAACATTACCGGAGTTTGGATATTTTGATAGTACTTCTGATTCTGCTTTCCTCTTTCCTGTGAAGTATCCAGATGACAGTAAAAACGACGGTAGGTTGTAATCATGGACCGAGATTAAGATAAATTTCGGAATCCCTGCATGGAAAATAGAAGGCATTACGGTGGATATACTCCCAACCAAGAATTGAACTTAAGGTTTTAAATAGATCTAATTATCACAGACAATCCTTACCAAAATCCTTTGCAGCATTTACAGCCATAGCATTGGCTTCTCCATTAATTCGTTTCATTTGCTCCTCACTGCCAAACCCTCCAAGAGTCGAAACCACAGCTGTAGCTCCAACAAGTACTTCATTCCAGTTAGCATAGAAAACATCTCCTGTGAAACAACTAGCTAAAGTGTTAGATTGCATTCATATACAAATATAGACAAGCGAACTAAGAATAAGATGAATAGAACACCATGAAAGATTTTACATAAACCCAAACCTATATACGATCCTGTTGGTCAGCAATGGTCTACTCAAAAGGTAAAAGGAAGGTAGCGCCAATGCAAAATGTATGCAACAACAAAAGAGATATGTAGCTCTCTTGTTGCACTGAACGATGAAACCAATGTTACCTAATTCGCCCCCACCCCCACAAATCATGTTTGAATTCGTATGTTCCAATTCGAGATTCGTTCGTGTTCCAATTTGTTAAGGAACGCGTGGTGGCACGATTAAATTGGCATATCGAAAACCCAGAACAGAAAAAGCAAAGAAAGTCAATAATGAGGGAAGAGAAGAAAACATCTAGATTTTAGCACTACAATCTATGTACTAGCATCGGGAAGAAGATAAATTTAAGTTGCAGTTTTGCACAGCTCTACTTTCAATTAAGCAATGAAAGGAGAAAAGTCCATTTCTAATCTATATAATGAATCAGTCATCACCAAATTATCCCACCCAATGAATCATGATCTCAAAATCCGTTCCAAACAAAACCACCCCAACAAACCGCAAATGGTGAAACTAATGAATTGTGATCCCGTACCCGTTCCATGAACCAAAGCGAACCACAAATTAGGTAACACTGGATGAAACAAATCTAGTAATGTTGATTCTCAAACTTCTAAAAGATAACAAGTCATCCTTGTTATATTATTAGCTATCAATTCCAAAAGAAAATTCAGGACCCTAACATTCAATGTTATGCACAGGATAGAAATTATAAGGGAAGAAAAAACATGCCTGGAATCCAATTAACTTGATTCACCCATGAGCAAGAGTAAGTAGGACGCCCCGACCTGGTGTAACAATCAACATTAAGCTCGTAATCACACAAAAAAGGCAACATAAGAGCGTCAAACCGGTTGATATAATATTGAGACCTGCTTAGACTTGTAACTTCTATGCCCTTGGATACAGCAGCCTTACATATTGCAGAACCAACAAAACCACTTCCTCCTAACACTACAATCTACTAACAAAAACAAGTTGGTAAGAAATTTGTGCTTATTAACACCCAAAAGAAGCAAAGTTCATCGACTTATCCGGTGTAGACATACCCTTTCGTTCTTGATGTCAGCAACAACATCTATTGTATCTGATCTTGAGTCATCACTGATTCCTGCTTCTGCATAGCTACATTTCACACCTAACTTGCACAACCTGCAATCAGAAACAGAAAATAATGATATATACAGGGATGGACCGAGGAAGAGGGTGGGACAGTCTCACCTAAAAATTTCAAATTATCATATATCTAATAATATATTTTGCCCTAGAATTTTATAAGTGCGGTTCCTCCTAAAATTTTAAAAATTCACCCTTAGCTTAAAATCCAGCGAGAGTCCTGGTTAGCAAAAGTTCTTCCATTCAATCCAAAAATATCAGAATCCAAAATACCAAAAAAAAAATAGTTAAAGGAACCTATCAAATTTCAGTAACATACTAGAAAAAAGTTTTCCTAAAATTAAAAAAAAAAAAAAATCAAGAGCAGAACAGAACATATAAAAATTTTCGACATGAATAAATGAAAATTTCAGACTGAAAAAATATATATTGAAGAACGACCGCATAAATAGTGATGAGGAAAAATAAATATTTGAGTGGAAGAGAAAGGACCGGCGTTGAGGAAATGTGTTGGGGCGAGTTGGAAAGGAAGCGGTGGTGCTGAAAGAAGAGAGAGGCGGAGCTGCGACGGTAAGAAAAGCTCGAAACGATGTCATGTTGCCGGTAGAGGAAGGAGGGAAACGACGATAATCTCCAAGAAAATATATTGCCGACAAGTGCGGAAACAAAGGTGAAATTGGCCGTTGAGCAGTGTACATACACGTGGTAAGTGTCGAATCAGCTGTTTGGCGTTTTAAAAGAATTTAAAGACGGAAATTACCACTCAATCATTATATTCTTTTGTTTTTCAGAGTTTAGTACTTAAATTATTACTTTTATTCTGTTTTGATACTTAAATTTTATTTTATTTTAAATTATGCCTAACGTTTAGATTAAGTTTTATTTTGGTACTCCACCGCTAAAAATTTAACGGTAATGATGATGTGTCACCATAAAATAATATTACGTCACTACTGAGACAAAATATGATGCAAGATAGCAAAATAAAAGTATTAATTTAAGTACTAAATGTGTATTTTACCCATCATTTTGAAATGGAAAGGCTTAACAGTTTAATTCTTATTGTTTATTGTATAAATTATTTGAGTAAATTACATGTTTAGTATCTTAACTATCACTTTTATTCTATTTTGGTCATTCAATAATTGTTGTTTCTAAAATCATATCTAACATTATATTTTGATTCTACTTTGGTCATTCGCCTTTGAAAAATTAACAGAACTGCTAATGTGGCCAAAGTATAAAATTAGGAAAACTTTAGGGACCTAAATGGTAATTTTCCCAAAAATAATTTTTATTCCATAAATGAATATTTTACTTTTAAGATTGGGGTTTTATTGAAATCATATTATTTATTCAGAATTTATGTTGAAAACTAGATATAGTTAAAGTCTCGCAAGAAATCGGTAAATCTGATTGAATAGAAATTTTGGGAAAATTAAAGGATGATAAATTAGAATTAAAAATATTATTTTAAAATGTTAAAATGATGGAAAATAATATGGACTATTTGATTTGAGAGCTTATTTCCATGTTTAATTTGGACTGTTGGATCAAAGTGGCAAGATTACAATTTTTATAAAGTTGCTTGGTAGAATTGGAAAATGGTAAAATATTTTATTCATCTTTGACTTTAGAAAGAATAAGGTTATTTGGCTTGTTATTATTGTAAATACCAAGTTCCATTAATGACAAAAATGAACATTTCTCATTAAATGAATATTTTATTCATTCAAGCTTAAATAAAAGGTAAATTAACATGAAATTTACTTAAAAATTTCATGTAAGCTTGCTATTTTCCAGCAACATTGCGTGAGTCCGAAACCCAATGTAAGAAAATTTTGTTCTTCATTTTCGAGCAATTTTCTTTGATTTTTGGATCATGTCGTGAAATAGACAATTCTTTAATTTGAAAACGCTAACATTTGGTACCATTATTGCTTTCTAATTTGGTTTGTGTTCAAAGATCCCAAATTTTAGGGTTTGTGATCACATTAGGGTTTATTGAATTGATGAAGAGTTTTGATGTCTTTGAAGTTGTATAATCAATTCCAAGCATGATTTATGATTAAAATCAACTATACATGTCTACATAAGCTATGGGTAATTTCGGCCTAAGCCTAATCTTGGAATAAGTTTATGTTATGATGCAATTTGATTAGGGATTTGATTGTAGAGATTGCATATAGTTGAATCGAATCAAAATTGAGTAAAATCATGAAAACCCTAATCTTGGGTACATAAACCATTCGGCCTTGAGGAAGATGATGGGAAAAAAATTTGGAAAAGTTCACGCGGCTTAGAAATTATATTAGAAAGGTTATATAAACCTTAGAAAATTTTTTAGGCTAATCTATAATTTTGTGAAAGTTGGGGAACAAAATCGATAATTATGAAAAAGTTGTGGGTTGTTGTATAATTGTTGTACTATACTGGAAATTTCTATTTGGGGATTGAAATTGAAGTTAGAATGTTAAATTTAGTCATTTTGGAAACTTGACAAAGTTTGAGTGGTAAATGGTAAACATTGAGAAAGTTAGTGGATTAAATGGTAAATATGGCATTGTTAAGGTATTTGGGATAAAAGTTTAATGCTGGAAATTATTGGGCTTATTTGGGCCTTGAATTGAAGAATTTAATGACAATAGCCCAATATGAATAAAAAGGAAAAGTTAAGATGAATATTAGAAAAATTTGAAAATAATAGTACTTTTGGAGTATTATTGTTAAATATGAAATGTTAGTAAGAATACTAACATGTATTTTATATTTGTGTATGTTTTGTATGGATACTCGTGTAGATCATGATCGAACTCGTGATATGAGCAAAGAGAATGGCAAGGAAAAAGTTCAAGAATAATCGGATTTCGATAATAAGGCATAATAGTGAGACATACCATGTGACTGCATTTATTATGTACTTATATTATATGAGGATGACTTACGATGAGTCAACCTCGAATATTTTTTATAAAAACATGTCTTACCGTATTTTGAAATATTTTCATAAAATTTATGAAAATGATTTTACGAATAATTTTAGGGTTTGATCTGCCCTAAAATAGACGGATGAACTTTTATATTATTTTAAGAGCTATCAATATTTCATAATAAATGTTTAATATGTGAATTTGATTTAAAGGCCTATTATATGTGCATTGAGAGTCATAGGTGCATTTTGACATACTTGGAGTATGATGGTTATAGATCGATTTTGTTTAATGCATATATTGCATTTTCCTATCAGTACCTTTGTGTACTTTCGAAATTATGTGAGCATGCATGGTATTCATAATGAGTTCATGAATTACCATTTCGATATATTTCTATAGTATGGTTGTTACTACAATACCTATACTTTCGTTTAGCACTTATTTGCAACTCATGTACCTTGCATTCTTATTTGACATACATTGGGCTATGAATGAATACTTTTGAAAATATCAATTGATAAGTATGTTGGGTATACTAAATATTGTTTTACAGGTTATTTGACGGAAACTTGGCTTATCAAGTTAGTTTTTATGCGTTTATATATTTTAGAATATAAGTCGCATTTTGATCTTATAATGGTTTACTCATGTTTTTAAAAGGCCTTATTTGTTTTGTTATGCCTCTCTAAGTGAATACTTAGCGTGTGATGATTTTCACGCATAGGTTTAGTGTACGAATCAGAGTGAGGAGTTCAGTTGAATCATCTATCTATGATTGCCTCATCAGTAACAGTATGACATCTTTAGATGTTTATTTTGATATTACTAGTTGGCATGTACTTAGATATGTTGTGATGCTCTGATAAGATACTTGGTATTTGGTTGTAGTATTATATTACGTTTGAACTTAAACTATTGTTTGATGGATTTTTATACGTTATTTTATATATTAGTAGTTAAAGAACGATTTAAAAAACTATATTATTAAATTGTTTATTTAAAGAAACAATAAATTTATTGGTTTTCAAGTACGAAAATGTTTTAAAAGTCATGTGACATCTATGACTCATGTACGGGGATGTATGTGGGAATTGGGTATTACATGTATTGGTATCAAACTTACAAGTTTAGCTGATTCTCAGCCGAAAATAAGTGTATTTTATGTAAAAAGTGTGTACATGCCACTATGATATCAAAGTTATTGATATGATGTCAATATGATATGATTAATGTCATTCCTCACTAACTTAAGTTATTATTATGTGTGTTGTGCTAGATCTCGAGAACTAAAGATAAAGGTAAGAAAGTTGATAATGTTGAAAGGAAGGTCGAGATTGAAATTGACCTCAAAAGATCTGACATGACTTCAGTATCATGCCTTAGAAGAGTTTGAGTTGTAAGGATTTTCCTCCATTTTGTGGAAGAAATGCTCTAGCATTTAATGAAGTTAATGCATTAGAGGAATCCATTAAAAACTTTAATTGGATTAGAAGAGAAGTTGAATTCGATAAGGATCCAGAGGAGATTATTGAATACATTGATGACTCTGAGGATTTTACAGTTAAGCTTAAATATTTGAGGAATATTTAAGTTAAGCATTAAGTTGCTTAAAGAAATGCTGATTTGAGTTAGAGGAAATAAGTAAGCAGTAAGTAAGTTATCCGCTAAAAGTTTAAAGAAAGCTGAGTTATTAGTGAATCAGATGATAATTATTTTATCATTCTAAAGGTTTTGAATTGAGTTTGAATGTAAGTAGATGTTAAGTTTTATGGACTTGATAGATTTATCTTGCGAAGGTAAATTTGTTGAATGGATTGTCTGCCCTTCTATGCTACAATGAATTATCGCTTAGATTGCGGTTGATTTTCAAGAACTTGAAAAGTTTCAAGTTCGTAGTGGTAGGAAAAAGAGTAAATTTGTTTACTAGTGTGATTTTAGCATTAACTGCTATTAAGTTATTGTTATAAAGTTGTCAAGTCTTCTTATTAATGATGTGGACATTTAGACGAGAATATTTTTGAAGGATCCGAAAAAGTTACACATATTACCTCAAGAATAAAATAAGGAATTTTAAAATAGAGGTATTATATTTTACTTGATCTCAAGTGATATGATAGAGGTAAACCCTATGGGTCATGGTGCAAGTGTGAGTTCACGTAGTAAATGTCCGATAAAGATTCAAGGGGCTATGTTTCTGGTGAATCTGATGGAATTATCATTTGACAAGTTTAAGATCATATTGGGCATGGGTTTGTTGTCTTTGCATTATGGTTGGGTTGATTGTCTCAAGAAGCGATTATTTCATAAAGATGCAGAAGATTTGGAAATTATAGTGATTCATCACCGCCCAATATGATATCGTCAATGATTGCGAAGAAAGTGATGTTAGAAGGATATATAGCTTTTCTAGCTAATGTGATATATACTCAAGTATCTGAAGTAAGATTGTATTATATTCCCATAGTTCTAGAATTTCCAGATGTTTTTTCAGATAAATTAACTAGGTTACCTCCGGATTGAGAGGTTGACTTCAAGATTGATGGTTATCAGGGTATTGAGCATGTTTCTATGGTTTCATTTCGAATAGCTTCGACCTAGTTAAGAGAACTAAAGGATCAGTTACAAGAGTTGCTTGATCAAGGTTTCATCAGACTGAGTGTTTCACCTTGGGGAGTACCTGTGTTGTTAGCGAAAAGAAAGATATATCTATGCGATTTTGTATAGATTATTGATAGTTAAATAAAGTGACAATAAGAATAAGTATCCTCTTC